GGGGGTTGGGGGTGGGGGCTGTGGGGGTTGTGTGGAGTTGTCGTTCTTTTTTGGAAGGGTGGAGAGTGAGGAAACAACACTGTCTTAGGCTCAAACAACTATTTCTCACACTTACACATATGAGATCATTTCTATACCTGCAGCGTTATCCAAGTTTTCGCACAACTCTGCCAGTACATCTAGGGCACCTTCCCTTCGCTCAAGGTCTGAATGTGTTTCCTCTGAACTTTCCCCACGTTCTGCTCCAGGGCTCAACACTTCCAAAACACGTAGACATTCCTTCATTTGTTCCACTTCATCCATTTGCCCACGAAATGCCTCAACCATTGCTTCCTGCAACCACTGTCTCCGCTGGGGGATTGGCCATTAGACGGAGTGGAGAGAAGAGGAGGAGAGAAAGGAAACAAGTAAAGAATCTTCTCTTTTCCTTCTTAGGAAGCCTGACTCTTCGATGCCATATTATATTACAGCTTATTTTTTCCCTCAGAGTAATGTGCAAAATGGAGGTGGCCCAAGCAGCTTTCACAAAGGCAATAAAACAACACAGTCACCAGTGAATAATCAGTAAATTACAAAAGCACGAATACAACTCTAACAAAACCGATAGCTACAACTAAATTAGAACCAGAAAAGAAAAAACAAAAAAAGCAACAATAATCCTATGAGCTAAATTTATTTGTGAAAGAGAGAGAGAGAGTAACTGGTCCAAAATCACCACGTCTAAGGATAGATAGCATCCCATTTCCTTGCTGAGGGCGTCAGGAGTCTGTTTACATGTTTAGCTTTTATCTTTCCCTAAACGAATTCTTTTAAATGTAATTCTGACATTAATGTATAAGTAGGGTTAATGTATAAGCAGGGTTTGTTAGAGATGCATGCTTTGGTTGACCTTTTCCTCGTCTTCTTTTCTTCTTGCATACAGGATTGTGATAAACATTATTATCATCTAGATTTACAGCCTGCCCTTCCTCCAGGAACTCAAAGCGCATACACAGTACTCTCTCCTCTACTTTTTCCAACAAACCCATGAGGTAGATTCTGCTGACTACCCAAAGTCATCCAGCAAGCTTCCATGTCTAAGGGTGGACCGGAATCCACGTCTCCATTGTCCTTGTCCAACCTCTTACTAGAAAATCTTGGGACCCTGCTTCGGTTGCTCACATCCCACTTCCTTGCCCAGGTAATCAGGAATCCCTACGTCTAATCATGTGACCTGATTCCCTCTCCTGATGAGCCAAGCTGCGCACCTCATCAGACATGGGCTCCATTTGACCAGGCTCGGCGTTGCCCGCCATGACTGCCATCTGCAGCAGCCCCTGCAAATTGCGGGGATGCTCATGTGGTGGCTGGTTCCCATCGGCACCCCCTTCAGCCATGGTTGGGGAACGTGACTCCAGGCAGGAGACAAGTCACCAAAACTGTAAAGGAAAAATAAAAAACAGAAAGAAAAGTAAGCGGAAGGAAAAACTGGGAGCCTAACCACACTTCACAGGGTCATCCAGTCCTCTTTCTCTATCCCCTGAAAACTCAGCCACATCTTCGTTCCAGCCCCTATTTTTCAGGAATACCACTGCTCTCTTTAGAAGTGAAACCTGCACCAGAGTATTGCAAAACACGTGTTCTTCATCAGAGTGCCAGCCTGCCAGCCTCAGCTTCCCAGAGTCAGGCGGCTTAATTCTGTTCCTCCTTTCCCCACCCAACAATCAAAGCTGTCTGCTGGGGAGTCAAAAAAGTCAAGATCATGGCCATGCAATCAAAGCCCCAACCTTTTATATGTGTGGTGTGTGATGCACCATCTTGACTTTTTTTACCTTCCCCCTGCAGACAACCCTGCCATTAAACACATGGTACATACCAGTACTTCATGGCCACTGAGCAGGTTCAATCCTTAACTGACTATTACACAGGAGTGACCACAGAAGGCCAACTTCCTGCTCAATGCAGGAATCCAAGTTAAATAATCCCAAAGAGATTCCTTTGCCTGAACACATCCAGGGAAAGGAAGCCACCACTTCTCTGAATAGGTGGCAACCCCATTTTTTGGCTGGATTATTGAGTCAGAAGTTACATACCTCTAATCAACCACCAAGATACCCTAAAAAACTATCTTCTAATTTTACATTGCTCAGAGAATCCAGGCATTCTAACTACATTTCCCCCACTAGATGTCAGCTATTCAGACCTAGCCCAAAATTTTGAGATTTTATTTCACAGGAAGATGGATGAGAACAGGATCCTGCCCATAAACAAAAAGAAGGAACACTCTGGAAGATATGAGAATAAGAAGGATAAGAATGGAATTCAGATGTGAAAACCTGTTCTGGAAAACATGCAATCCCACAAGCTCCACCCTATGTATGTACAGGTAGTCCCTGGGTTAAGAACGCCCAGGTTACAGACAACCCATAGTTAACAATGGGGCCTATTGTAGCAAAATTTGAGTTAAATACACAATGGTTTGAGTTCATTACACAATACTACTTATACAGTATTATACAATAATACAATACAATACAAAGTATTATACAATAATACTGTTCCTGCTTACATACAAATTTGATTTAAGGAGAGACCTTGGGAACGGAACTCATTCTTAAACTGGGGACTACCTGTATACAATACCAGTGAAGAACCCAGCTCCTTTAATTTATCGTCATTGTAATCCAAGGGATAAATCAGGCCAAGTATGAACTAGTTCCTGTCCCCTGTTCAGCATCATATAATAGGAATTTGAATGTTAATGTCACCAACTGTAGACCAGCACACAAATTATGCTACAAAGTCATGCATGGATCCAAACTGATAATTGTAAACTCTGAACCAAGATCTGGGAATTATTGCAGAATCACCCTAATGAACCCCAAGGCCATCATTTTATGTACCTGACATAGCATACTCTGAAAATTATAAAACTATCTTGGGCCCGCCCCTCACCCTCAGTTTAATCTACCTCACAAGGCTGTTGTTTCAAGGCTAAAATAAGGAAATGAAAGAACTACACACAGCAGCTTGAGCTTCAGAGGAGGGCAGGATGCTTAATGAAAAAATAAACAAAAGCAATAATACATCCTATGCAATGGACAGACTTCAGTTCTTGCTCCCGCTTTCCAAAAGTCTCCAGAAACCTTCCTCCCGCAGCTCTAAGAGTCCAGAGCTAAAAATCAGAAAGTCCATGGCTCTGTTCCACCCTCTGTCAAGAAATGGCTAGACAGGCCTTGGGCCTTTCTCCCTCTGCCACAGATTCCTCCCCAGGCAATTTATAAAACTGGCCTACAGTGCAGGACTGCTGTAATGTTTACCCACAGATAATCGCTCTGAACGTTGGGAACCCCGACACCCATTAACAGCCAGGGGGCCCATATGGGACGGAGGGGGGCCTTTCCTTTAAGTCATGGAGGACTGCAGGATTTTTCTGGAGAAGCTAAGGCAGTTTGACAGAGGAATGGCGACCTCCCTTTCTGAGAAGGGACTGGCATTTTCTTAAAGGCCAAATACAGGGTACAACCAGCTACAGGTTTCCAAGAAATTGACGGATTCGGCTCAGGGCGACTCCAATCCCCCGGCCCTCCTCCTCGCCTTCCTACACCCCACCGTGACCTCCTCTTCTCCTGGGGGGGGTGTCTCTCCTTTCCCTTAATTCTCGTTTTTCCTTCCTCCAAGCCTCCCCCTTCCTGGGGATGGCCCTTCCTCCCCCT